AAAAAAAAAAATTCAGAGTGATATTAAGTAATGGAATTTATTGTTGTGATATATTCAGATTCTGGAAAGATAAATGAGAGTGTGTGAATGACCCTCCCCTGCCTAACATATAATTATGGTTTGTCTAATTGCCTTCTCCATCATCTCCCAAGATACCAATGTCCGGCGGTACCTCCAGCTGACACAGACAGAACTCAACAGCTACCATACAAAAGAGAAACAACTGTACCTTGGCATGTTCGGTTAATAAAGAAAAGGGATGCTCCAACACATCAACTGAAGTGGACCATTAAAGACCCATTAAGGAGAAACCTGAGCCTCAGCAAGAGAAATGAATCCTGTACCTCTGTTCCAGCTGAATTTCTATTTTGTTTCCTGTTCTGCACAGCTCTTTGCTACTTAGACCATGTGTGTGTGTGTGTGTGTGTGTGTGTGTGTGTGTGTGTGTGTGTCCATCTATATATTTGCTATTTGCTACCTTCCAATAAAATTTTACTGTTGGGGATGTTTGCTTTGAAATATAGACCAGAAAACATTCATCACGGGTGAAAATATTTCTGGCCATCAAATTTAATGAGATGTTTTAGGTGTATTTCTATACAGTGCAGAAGAGTAGCAGAGGATGAAGTAAAGGGAGGCAAATGCCTCCAGTGATTTTTGTTTTTCCTCAAATGCCCAAACTCAAACTGGAAAACTGATCTTTTTGTCAAGCTAAATAATTGTAAGTAGAGCTCGAGTATATGTAAATGAAAGGCTTACAGTGAATCATTTTTGTTTCCTTATTCTTCTTACTAATTCATACACATTGAAATTTCTTTCTTCCAGGCTGGGAAGGTGGCTCAGTGGTAGAGCGCTTGCCTTGCATGCCTGAGGCCCTGAGTTCGATTCTTCAGCACCACATAAGCAAAAAGGAAAAAGCCGAAGTGGCACTGTGGCTCAAGTGGTAGAGTGCTGGCCTTGAGCTGAAGAGCTGACAGCGCTCATGCCCAGAGTTTAGGCCCCACGACCGGACCCAAAAAAAACAAAAAAGTCACCTTCCCAGCCTCTTGTACTATTTTCTGATTTATTTGTAATTTCTAGTCTTTGCTATTGCTTGTACTCGGATCATTAACACGTATTTTTTCATTAAAATAATAACTTTCTAGAGTTAAGCATTCAAGTATTTATCCAATAACCCTTCAAGCCTCATGCCAAAAAAAAAAAAAAGAAGAAATCCCTGGTTTTCATAAAGTTGTAAATCTGTTGTATAAGTGTTTCTCTAAAAAATATAAGACATGGGCTGGGAACTTGGCTCAGTGGTAGAGTGCTTGCCTTGCATGCATGAGGCCCTGGGTTCGATTCCTCAGCACCACATAAGCAAAAAGTAAAAAGCCAGAAGTGGCACTGTGGCTCAAGTGGTAGAACACTGGCCTTGAACTGAAGAGCTGAGGGACAGTGCCCAGGCCCAGAGTTCAGGCCCCACAACCAGACCCTCCCCCCCCCCAAAAAAAGACATTACCTACCATGTCTTCTAGAAATTATACTATAAAATAGTAGGGCAAAAAACACAAATCTCTCTTGGCCTGTCACCCTATATTTTGTAAGAGTTTTTAAGTCCTGACAAGAGTAGAGAATAAAGAAAGCCCATTATTTTATTGCTTAGTGCCTTCGGAGCAGCTGGTGGCCTGTGGGGAAGCTGTGTTGTGCACGCATGCAGGATGCAAGTCTGGCTTAGTAGAAGGCTCTGTCCACCTTTGTCGTTCTGTTTACTTGTGGGTTACATGTATGCCATGTATACTAAATAGTAGCTGAAAACATGTAGCATGGCCAGTACCTTCATAAATGTTATTAGCATCATATAACTGTAAAGTAAATAGGTTTTCTGAATGAAAAACCACTCTGGTTTATTGATAAGACCTTACGGACTAGACTCCTCTGTGCCTCTAAACACATTAAGTAATATAACCATCAGCTTTCATCAGAAAACTTTTCTGGCAAGGCACTAGTGGTTCATGCCTGTAATCCCAGCTACTCAGGAGGCTGAGTTTGGAGGATCGTGATTTGAAGCCAGCCCAGAGTCCTTAAGACTCATCTCCAATTACTACCAAAGAGCTGTAAGTGGAGCTATGGCTCAAGTGCTAGACCTAGGCCCAGAGTTTAAGCCCCAGGACTGGCAGCACATACAAATTTTTACTCCTAAGCTTCATGGTTTACAAAACTTAGGCTTGAGGCTGGGAAGGTGGCTCAGTTGTAGAGTGCTTGCCTTGCATGCCTGAGGTCCTGGGTTCCATTCCTCAGTACCACATAAGCAGAAAAAGCCAGAAGTGGCCTTATGGCTCAAGTGGTAGAGTGTTAGCCTTGAGGTGAAGAGCTGAGGGACAGCCCCCAGGCCCAGAGTTCAGGCCCCGCAACCGACAAAATAAAAAATAAAGCTGGGCGCCGGTGGCTTACACCTGTAATCCTAGCTATTCAGGAGGCTGAGATCTGAGGTTCGAGGTTCAAATCCAGCCCGGGCAGGAAATTCCGTGAGACTCATCTCCAATAAACCACCAGAAAACCGGAAGTGGCTCTGTAGCTCAAGTGGTAGAGAATGCTTGCTTTGAGCTGGAATGCTGAAGTACAGCGCTCAGCCCCGGAATTCAGGCCCCACGACTGACCAAAAAATAAAAAATAAAACAGGCTGGGCTGGGAAGGTGGCTCACTGGTAGAGCACTTGCCTTGCATGCCTGAGGCCCTGGGTTCGATTCCTCAGCACCACATAAGCAAAAAGGAAAAAGCTGGAAGTGACGCTGTGGCTCAAGTGGTAGAGTGCCAGCCTTGAGTTGAAGAGCTGAGGGACAGCACTCAGGCCCAGAATTCAAGCCCCACGACTGACCAAAAAATAAAAATAAAAAATAAAACAGGCTTACTGACAAAATTTTGCCATGGTGCATCCTGTCAAGTCAAAAAACTATTTCCTTAGTAATTTTCCATCCATTTCCCTCCCCCCGCCCCACACCCTTGATAAGAGTCTCCCCTTGGCCTTGTTGGAGTCAGTTAGGTCCAACTCTGTCCCCACTGTGAAACCCAGTTGCTATGACTCTCCATTGAGTAGCCTGCCTTACCATGGCAGTAATCCTAGCTACTTGGGAGGCTGAGATCTGAGGATCGAAGTTTGAAGCTGGCCTGGGCAGAAAAGGTCCTGTGAGATTCTTATCTCCAATTAGTCACTCAAAACCTGGGAGTGGCTCTGTGGCTCAGGTGGTAGACCACTCACCTTGAGCTGAAGAGCTGAGGGACATGCCCATGCCCAAAGTTCAAGTCCCATTACCGACCCCCTTCACCCCCAAAAAATGCAGCTTAGAAATTTTACTCAACCTTTTTTTTTTTTTAGCATTACTAAGAAATCACACAGTGGTCAGGCTTACATTTGAGAATCCCAGCTTCTGATGGAGATGTCAATCAATAGTCTCATGCTGGTGTCAACGGTCTAACAACCCTCTGTCCTGAAGGGGCCAGCCAGAAGCTCTCCATCCTTGCATTTGGAAGTTACCATCTGTAATCATTTCCACACAGGGTTTGGTGATTTTGAATAAAGCCAGGGACTGGTGGCTCACACCTGCAATCCTAGCTACAAAAGAAGCTGAGATCTGAGGATCAGAGTTTGAAGCCAGCCCAGGCAGGAAACTCTGGGAGAGTCTTACCTCCAATTACCCATTAAAATAACCTAAATTGGAGTTGTAGCTTAAGTGGTAGAACGTTAGCCTTGAACAAAAAGGCTAAGGGAGCCAGGTGCCAGTAGCTCACACGTGTAATCCTAGCTAATCAGGAAGTTGAGATTTGAGGATCATGATTCAAAGCCAGCCTGGACACCGAAGTGTGAAACTCTTTTTTTTTTTTGGGGGGGTCCAGTCTTGGGGCCTGAACTCTGGGCCTGGGCCAGAGTTCAGCTCTTCAGCTCAAGGCTAGCGCTCTACCACCCGAGCCACAGCGCCACTTCTGGCGTTTTTTACTTTTTGCTTATGTGGTGCTGAGGAATCAAACCCAGGGCCTCATGCATGCAAGGCAAGCGCTCTACCACTGAGCCACCTTCCCAGCCCTGTGGTAGTGGGTTTGAACTTGGCCTCATGCTTCCTAGGAAGATATTCCACCACTTGAGCCATGGCCCCAAGCCTGCATCATCAGCTTTTCCCATAATACCTTAATGAAGGAACTTTTCTTTTGTCAAATCTTTACCTCTAAGCTCTGTCTCCTTCCTGTATCAAAAACTAGCTTTGTAAGAAGAGTTTACAGTGCCAAATGTGATATCCATACCCGAAAAGGGAGGAAAGGAATTTGGGAAGTTTATTTGTACTTTCACTTTTCTTTGTTTCTACTTTATTTGTATTCAGGTCCTGAGTGCAAATAAAGATGTGGTTTGGAGCAAGCCTGCTATTCCATTCTACAGCTAGGGCAGGTTCTTTCATATTCCTTTTTTTTTTTTTTTTTTGCCAGTCCTGGGGCTTGAACTCACTGTCCCTGAGTTTTGCAGCTAACACTCTACCACTTGCACCACAGCACCACTTCTGGCTTTTTCTGTGTATGTGGTACTGAGGAATCAAATCCAGGGCTTCATGCATGCTAGGCAAGCACTCTACCACTAAGCCACATTCCCAGTGCCTTCTTTCACATTCTTTTTTTTTGGGGGGGGGGGTCCGGTTGCAGGGCCTGAACTCTGGGCCTGGGCGCTGTCCCTCAGCTCTTCAGCTCAAGGCTAGTGCTCTACCACTTGAGCCACAGCGCCACTTCTGGCTTTTTTCTTTATGCTTATGTGGTGCTGAGGAATCGAACCCAGGGCCTCATGCATGTAAGGCAAGCGCTCTACCACTGAGCCACCTTCCCAGCCCTTCTTTCACATTCTTTTTTTTTTCTTTCACATTCTTAGGGCTAGTTTTCCCCATCCCACATCAACACCCCAAATTCTCATTTCTTTGCCATTCCATTGCAAACAGCCATGTGTATGACCTTACATAATTTAACTTCTCTAGGTTACTATCATCACACTGTTTTATTTCTCTGGTACTGGGTATCAAACCCAGGGCATAATTCATGCTAGGCACTTGGCCGCTGAATTACGTTACCAGTCCCGCACTTCTGATGCAAAGTGTGGGACAAGATCCTCTCATGGGCTTTCCTGCTGTAGCTTTCCCAAGCAACCATTATTCCAATGCCTCCACAGACTCTCTCAACCTTCCCCACACAAGACTAGTACCACAAGACTGTTTCCTGTCTGTCCCTATCTTGTCTTCAGAGACCACAATCCATATTTTCAACTCACAGGCAAAATTTTCAAATCATCAGTACACTATGTGTCACTGAAACAATCAAGGAAACGTCCTAGGTAGAAGGGAACAAAACCACACTCAAATGACAAGAAGAGAACTTTCAATTCTTAACTGCCATGAATGTTTTAAACCAGTCTATAGCACACATGGCATCTATAGTCATAAGCTCGGTTCAAATACTGGCTAGTCCCTTAGCCAGTTTTGAACAAGTTAACGTTTTAAGTTTCAAGTTTCCTTGCCCATGCAAAACCAGGTATGGTGGGATAATATCCCAAAAGGTTGTTGAGGATTAAATGAGTAGTGAGCCAGGCTATGGCGGCTCACACATGATTCTAGCTACTCAGAAGGCTGAGATCTGAGAATGGTGGTTCAAAACCAGCCAAGGCAGGAAATTCCTTGAGACTCTTATCTCTATCAGAATACTAACTGGAAGTGATACTGTGGTCAAAGTGGTAAAGTGTTAGTCTTGAGCCAAAGAGCTCAGGGACAGTGCCCAGGCCCCGAGTTCAAGCCCCAGGAAGACCAAAGCAAAAACAAACAAAAAGCAGAGGTTATACAAAGTACCCAAAACATTAGAACCCAGAATGCGAAAGTTCAACTGTAAAAATCAGCCAAGATTGTTTTAAGATTCCTTAATTTGCATACCTTTCCTAAGTAAAGTTTACACTGCCATCTTCCCTTTTTTCCTTATCAGACTCATGTGCCTAACCCAAATACAGGAATCAGATAAAAGAACCTGAGGAAAGGGATGAAGACTTTCTTTCAGTTCTGTGGAACAAACCAGACAACACCAGTTCAAAGAGATAATTTCCCATTGCTAACTTTATGTTCTAGAATTTGAAGTGAGAAGTAATTACACCTCAGGAAAAAAAAAAATCCCAGTACCCTTAGAGAGGGCCAGCTGATCTACTCTGCCCCATAAAGTCCTATGTATCTGGTTGGGCCAAGAAAAGTGTAGGAACCTTTAGCTTGAGCCGACCCTCAGTTCTGTCACCCAGCTGAAGTGATGAGATGCCTCTGGCCTTCTGTGTTACCATCTAAGGGAGGTAAGATTCAGGCCTGGCATTAGTTCGTGTCCCCCAGTTATTAATTTTTGGGGCCAAGTACAAAATCTTTGGGTGGTCCACCACCACCAGTACCCTGTCTGTCTGCTGTGGGTGAGCCAGAGAGGGGCTGCATCCCTAGCACAGAGCCAGCCTCTGGATCAGGTTTGCTGCGTTTGGCTAGATCCTCATTGTGAGCCTTGCGGATGTGGCGGTAGAGGTCCCCTGATTGTGTGTAGCTGCGCAGGCAGTAGCGGCACTCGTAGGGTCGTTCACGTGTGTGAACAGTAGCATGTCGCCGTAGCGTATAAGAGCATGAGAAGGTCTTTCCACATGTCTTGCAGGTGGGAACATCATCAGTAAAAACCCCAAAGGTTCCTGGGGCTGCTTCATACTCAGAAGGTGGGTAAAGTGGCTCATGCAAGGCTGGAGGTGCAGGAAGGGGTGAGGTCACCAGTCCTCGATGATACTGCCCTGGACCTGGCAGCAGGTGGTAGGACAGATGAGGGTCTGGAGGCAGGAAGTGGTCAGCTGGCCCCACCTCATCTAGTCCTGCTGCCCCTGCCTCCTCAAAAGTCTCTGGTTGGGAGGGCTGTCCCCCATACATTCCGCCTCCCGGTGGGAACAGTCCCTCAGGACCCTGAGACTGCTCCTCTGACACATCAGTCTCCTCATCGGAGATCACAATAGCTTCTACCTTCACCTGGACAAGTTCAGCTTCAGCTGGGGCTGGAGCCTGGGATGGAACTGGGGCTGAGACTGAGGCTGGAGCTGAAACTGGGGCCGATGCTGGGGGATAGAAGCCTTGTAATGGTCCTCCAGTTTCCCTTGCTTCCACCACCCTCAAACTCTCAGAACCAACATCCAATGGAGTCAGAGGCTCCACTGAAACTGCAGGGAGGCCAGAAGAAAAGTAGTTTGCAGAAATGGTCTCTGTAGAGCTGCTAGGGCTGGCCAGAGAAACAGAGACATCAGTCACGGGTGGAGGAGGTGCTCGAAGATGTGGTGAGTCAACCTCCATGCTAGGCTGTGTAGTGTCAGCCCCACCAGGCATTGGTGGCTCATCTGTAGGACGGACAACAGGCAAGGGAGCAGGACTTTTCCATTCCTCTTTGCCCCAATGGCCTGAGGGCTCAGCAGATGCCAGTGAATGCTGGGAGCCACGGGAAGTGCTAGACAAAAACTCCAAACTTAGGGGCTGTGAGTTGGTTTCCTCCTCCTTCTTAGTACTATCTGCCTCTGCCAAGGCCCGAGCTTGCAGGCGCTGCTTACACACTTTGACGATGTCATTCATGTGTAAGTAGCTGGCAGCTGCCAGCACATCCTCCAGAGGGGTGTCCCCCCTCAGGGCCAGCTGGCCAGCATACATAAAGTCGAGAAGTAGCCCAAAGGCTGGAGCTGTAACAATCTCGTTGTGAATACACACTAGATCCCTCTTGTCTAGTTCCCGCTCCTTGTAGAAAAGCTGGAAGAATGGGCTACAGGAGGCCAGCACAGCCCGATGGGCCAAGAACTGGGTGCTACCCACCATCACGGTGCAGTCACAAAGAAAACCCTGAGACCGCTGCTCCCGGAGGCTCTGCAACAGCTGCTGACTGTGTTCTGGGAACTCCATAGCACCCCAAGAAGGGAAGGGCGCCCAAGAGATGTCCCCACCAGTGGCTCCCTGGGAAGAGAGGACAGGAAGTTAAGGGCAGGTAACTCCTCCAGCAACCCTAACATTGGCCTTGAACTATGGCTAGCCACCCCATGCCCCACCCCGCCCCCCAAGACGCCTGCTTTAGTTACTACCCCTTTTTTGCTTAGGTCACACCCAAAAGGTATCCTATTAGCCCCGCCCCTCGACTTAACCTTACCAGAAGGCCCCGCCCCGTCCCATCAACGCCCCGCCCCCGGAAGTCCCGCCCCCTGACTAGTCTCTGCTTCCTTGATGCCCACCCTGTATCTTCTAGAGGTTTACCAACTAGGACTCTCGCTCCCAAGCTTTCCCGGACGATGCCACCACGCCCCACTCCGAGAACTCCCTGAGCCTCCCCCTCTCGCATTCCAGGGACTAAAGACTCCCAGTACGGGAAGTAGCAGAGAAAGCTGATCCCTCACCCACCACCGAGCGGCCACCAGGCGAGCTCCGCCCCTTCCCACCTTCTCAGTCTTAATTGGCTCAAATTTTCCTTCTCTAGTCATAGATTGGTTTGCTGTCCAGTGTCCCGCCCCACTATTACTGGCATTTCCAAATGGTTATGAGCAGCCGTCGCTCAGTCAGCGCGGCATTGGATTGGCTGTCACTCCCGTCCAAAACATTTCCCCTTCGTCCCGCCTTCTTTGCGTCAGAGCCCTCAGGATTGGCTGAATTTCGCTTCTACCTGAGGCTGTAGGCAAGAGAGGCTGTAGGCAAAAGAGGCTGGAAATTTGCGACTGCGCAGTGCTGTACAGGAGTGACCCGAGGGTCTCCTGTCCCCAGTCCCCCCCAACCACCCGGCTGCAGGTGACTGGAAGGAGAAGCAATAGTGTGGGCCCCTCGAAGCCAGAGGCCTACACCAGGCTCTGCCAAAACTATGGGCAGTGCTGGGCGCCAGGAGCAATCCTAGCTACTCAGGAGCCTGAGATCTGAGGATGGCCATTTGAAGCCAGCCCGGGCAGAAAAGTGCCCCGTGAGACTTCCTATTAACTGTTCAAGAACTGAAATGCCGCTGTGGCTCAATGATAGAGCACTAACCTTAAAAGGGGCTCAAGGACAGTGTTCAGACTCTGACTTCAAGCCCCACGACCAACCAAAAAAAAAATAAAAACCCAAACAACAACAAACCACGACCACATTTTTAGAGAGGATAAACGAGTCTATTACTAGCCGCCTGAAAGAAGTTCAGATCCCTGGGGAGGGGAGATTGGGGAAGAGGGAGGGGGTTCTACCAGCTAGTTACACCCCAAATAGGCATTATTTAGATATCTACTTTTGACCAGGTGGTCAATTCCTTTCTAGTTGTGCACAAATCATGACATCCTGTTACTACTCCTGCATTGTTATTATAAGAAATGCCAAATGGACTTCCAGCTATCAATCCAGATGGCCCCACAAAGTCTGTCCCCAACCCACATTACAGCAACAGTCCCACCAGGCCACATTTTCACAACTGGGTGGGGGCCACATTCTCACAACTAGATGCTGGAAAGTGTCTTCACCTGGAGAATAACTTTTCTACTTCATTCTCCCCTCTATACATAACTCAATTCACTGAGATATAAACACTACTGTTGCTGTTGACAAGTGGCTCACATATAAAAGAATGGGCTACACATGAGGAGGAGGAATAGAATAATTTCACTGAATGGGTTCCAATTAAAAAGACTTTCATACCAATTTGATGCCTGACTAATTGTTATAAAACCAACTTGCTTCCCCAAGTGCTGTGCACAGTCCTCCTTGTACCTAGCACAAGGCCATGCCAGATTTGAAGGGAAACTCCAGCCAGGGGAGTTGAGCAGAGTGTAGAGGTCTGTGCTGGTCAGCTCCAATCCCCACAGGCTCAGGTCAATGGTGCCGTCACAATGGCAGCAGTCCCCATAATAAAAGGGCAACAGTTCCAAGCTAGGATGATCCCTATGCCCACAAGGCCAGTATAATCAAGTTCTTTTGGGGCACCATGAGGTGGAGACCTTCTTCCCCTCCATATACTAGGACCGGTGGCAGTATTACTACTAAATCTCAGAGAGGCCTTTTAGGAAAGACACATCAATACATAATTTTAGGCCATTCATACTTGCAAAACAGATTTTCTCAAGGGCAATATTTCCTGGGTGTTCTCCAGGGTAAGAACTGGCCCTGTGGAATTTCCAGATTTCCCATACCCTAAGGAGAACGGCAATCAGGAGCCTAGCCCCATGTAATAAGGAGGTCTGGACTGAAGACAAAGTCAGTAGTTTTGTGCTACATCTGGCATAGATTGAATGACCACTCCAAAAGTGACCTGTAGTAAACCAAACAGGTCCACCTTAGCAAAGGCTGGTTTTATATTAGGGCCCTGGGAGCTCAGGGAGTGGTTGGAAAGGGTGGTGAGCAAAACCGATCTTGAAAGTCAGCCAAGAGCTCCAAAGAAGATAGAAACAGAGTATGTTGATTAAAATGACTTGTAGGGGCTGGGAAGGTGGCTCAGTGGTAGAGCTGCCTTGCATGCCTGAGGCCCTGGGTTCAATTCCTCAGCACCACATAAGCAAAAAGAAAAAAGCCGGAAGTGGCGCTGTGGCTCAAGTGGTAGAGTGCTAGCCTTGAGCTGAAGAGCTGAGGGACAGCACCCAGGCCCAGAGTTCAGGCCCCACGACTGGACCCCCCCCAAAAAAAAAATGACTTGTAGCCAGGAACTGGTGGCTCACCTCTGTAATCCTAGCTACTCAGGAGTCTGAGATCCGAGGATTCAAGTTCGAAGCCAGCCAAGGCCAAAAAGTCCCTATGAGACTTTTATTGTCAATTGAGCATTAAAATAAATAAATTAGTATTGGGGCTGAGAATGTGACTCTGAAGTGGAGTGTTTGCCTAGCATGCATGAAGCCCTGGGTTCAGTTCCTCAGTACTGAATAGACAGAAAAAGCCCAGTGGTAGAGTGCTAGCCTTGAGCAAAAGAAGCTCAAAGAGCTGGGCGCCGGTGACTTATACCTGTAATCCTAGCTATTCAGGAAGCTGAGATCTGAAGATCACGGTTCAAAGCCATCCTGGGAAGGAACAACCCCTAATACTCCTTTCCGGGATGGCTCAGTGGTAGAGTGTTTGCCTTGCACGCATGAGGCCCTGGGTTTGATTCCTCAGCACCACAGAAGCAGAAAATGCTGGAAGTGGTGCTGGGGCTCAAGTGGTAGAGTGCTCCCCTTAAAGTGAAGAGCTCAGGGTTCAAGCCCCACAAAAGAAGGAGGAGGAGGAGGAGGAGGAGGAGGAGGAGGAAGATGAGGAAGCAATAGCTCACAAACCCCAGGACTGATGAAAACAAAACAAAACACCAAAAAAAAACCCAAAAATCAGTAGGTGGCTCAAAACAGTAGAGAGCTCGCCTTGAACAAAAGAGCTCAAGGACAGGGCCCAGGCTCTGCGTTTAAGCAAAAAAGTAACAGGTATCTTTTTTTTTTTTTTTTGTGAGCAGTATTTATGAAAAGCACCCTTCCAAGTGTGACCTTCTGTAGTAACTTGAGACTAGGGAGTGCTCAGAAAGGGACAGACTGCCATTATAGTAACTTTACAGTTAATCTATAAAAGATAGACTTCAGTGGACAACTAATCTTTAAATGATAGGAGCAGGAAGGAACAAGGAGAACTTTCTGAGAACTGGATCTTGATGAGTAAGGGGGTGGGGTGAGGGGGACTTATGTGCGGGAAAGAAGAGACAACCTACAAATGGGCTCTAATGAGCCAGGCACTGGTGCCTGTAATCCTGGCTACTCAGGAGGCTGAGATCTGAGGATCATGGTTCAAGCCAGCCCAAGCAAGAAGATCCTTGAGACCCTTATCTCCAACTAACCACCAGAAAATTGGAAGCGGCCCTGTGGCTCAAGTGGTAGAGCACTAGCCTTGAGCTGAAGAGCTGAGGGACAGCGCCTAGGCCCAGAGTTCAAGACCAACACAAAACAAAACAAAACAAAAAACTCTAATGAGAAATCTAAATCCATGGGCTGGGAAGGTGGCTCAGTGGTAAGAGTGCTTGTCTTGCATGCATGAGGCCCTGGGCTCGATTCCTCAGAACCACATAAACAGGAAAAGCCAGAAGTAGTGCTCAAGTAGCAGAGCGCTAGCCTTGAGCTGAAGAGCTAAGGGACAGTGCTGAGGCCCAGAGTTCAGGCCCATGACCTACAAAAAGTATAAAGTCTGCACAGGGACACCTCCCGCCCTTTTGGCTCCCAGTATCTCTTACCAAGGTAACTGGCAGACCTGGAAGCAGTCACCTTCCCCTCCTACTAGGTCACATCCTGGGCCACCTGTGGTCACATGCCTCCCAGGGTCCCAGACCCTGAGGTCACATCCAGATCCAGTGTGGTCACACCTTTCCCCCACCTGACCACACCTCTTCCTGTCCCTGGCCTACATAAGTCCTGGCCCAGAGGTGGGTCACCCCTCTCCCCCCCCCCCTTTCCTTTTCAGCCATGCTTCTCCACCATGCATGAGGGGGAAGGGGAGCAGCAGTTCGGTAAATTAATTTATTTTCCTGCCTGAATAGTGCATGGTGTTCTCTTCATCGGCTACCTAATGAAACCTATTTAATATACCTTACAAAAAGAAAAAAAACAACTAAATCCATGCTACTAAACAGAGCTTCTGTAGCAGACCTCTGTACAGAACCTGTCTGGGCTATGGTTTTTGTGCTTGTTTCCAAAAGTTATGTTCTGTGGACCTAAATGGCTCAATGTCATCTCCAGGCATATCATCTTCCCTGACCATGAATGCATTCACCAACCCAGAAGCTTCTGAACTTATCATTTATTGGTGTTTATGGAGGTCCCATTGCACAGAGAGGTTTGATGACTGGCCAGTGATGAAATTAATATACATATATAGCCAGTCTTGGGGCTTGAACTCGGCCTGAGGGCTGTCACTGAGCTTCTTTTTGCTCAAGGCCAGCTTTCAACCACTTGAGCCACAATGTCACTTCAAGCTTTTTCTGTTTATGTGGTGCTGAGGAATTGAACCCAGGGCTTCATGCATGGTAGGCAAGCATTCTACCACTACGCCAAGTTGCCAATCCCTGAGGATCATAGTTTGAAGCCAGCCTGAACAGAAAAGTCCATGGGGGAGGGGGGGCTGGGAATGTAGCTTAGTGGTAGAGTTCTTGCCTAGCATACATGATGCCCTGGGTTCTATTCCTCAGTACCACCTAAACAGGAAATAAAGCCAGAAGTGGCGCTGTGTGTCAAGTGGTAGAGCCTTGAGTAAAAACAGCCTAGGGACAGTGCCCAGGCACTGAGTTCAGCCCCAGGAGTGGAAAAGAAAGAAAGAAAAGTCCATGGGATTCCATCTCCAAAATAACCAGCAAAAAGTTAGTCTGTTTGGTTCATGTCTGAAATACTAGCTACTCAGGAGGCTGAGATCTGGGGATTGCAGTTCAAAGCCAGTCTGGGCAGAAAGGTCACGTTGAGACTCTTTATCTCCAATAAAGAGTCCAATAAGGGTGCTAGCCTTGAGCATGAACGGCTCAGAGTCAGCGCCCAGGCCGAATTCAGGCCGAGTTCAAGCCCCACAATCGACAAAAAAAAAAGCCCATCAGGACCTGACTTATGGAACTGTAACCCCTCGGTACATCATCTTCATCATAACAACTTAAAAAAATTAAAAAGCGCCAGTCTTTAAGCGCGGCTCCAGTGGCTGACCGCATGAGGACATGAGTTACAGGCCCCGCACTAGTAAAGAGGAAAGTGAGTCATCCATCTATGCAGATGGGTAGCTGGGCTTCCGGTAGGTGGGGTTGGAGGGCGGAACTTCAGAAGTGCCCGCCTCCCCAAGCCGGGTCTAGGATAGCGAAGACCAATCAGATTTGCGGAGGGGCCCCGGAAGTGGGGTTGGCACGGCTGCGTGTGCTTCCGGCCGAGGCCGGGAGGCTGCTGCGTCCACTGCGCGCTCCGTAGTCCAGCCTCCGCCGGGAGGATGTTTTACCACGTGAGCCGGGCGCGGTGTGGGAGGGCGGGGGCTGCGAAGCGGTTCGTCCAAGCGAGTGACACTTTTCTGCCGATCATGGGGCTTGAACTTAGGACCTGGCAACCGTCCCTGAGGGTTTCTTGGCTCAAGGCTGGCACTCTACCACTTGAGCCACAGCTGCACTTCCGGCTCTTTGGTGGTTAATTGGAGATAGGAGTCTCAGGGACTTGCCTACCCAGCCTGGCTTTGAACCTCAGTCCTCATATTTCAGCCTCCTGAGTAGCTATGATCACAGGAGTGGGTTACGGGCGCCTAGGCGAGGGCCACTTCTTTACCGGATCCTTGGCCGGGCCTCACCTGGCCTCCATCCCTGTTCTCTGCAGATCTCCCTGGAGCACGAGATCCTGCTGCATCCGCGGTACTTCGGCCCTAACTTGCTCAACACGGTGAAGCAAAAGCTATTCACCGAAGTGGAGGGGACGTGCACCGGGAAGTGAGTGTTCCTCCCCTCCTGTCACGGAGATGCGCTCGTCGTTCCCTCTCTCCCTCCTCCGGCGTCCCAGCCAGCTAGTTTCTTCCCACTTTGTGATGCTATGCCTTGGTGCCCTCTGCAAAGTTGATAACAAGACGTTCTTCCCTTTGCTGATAATTGCACACTTCATTTATTCCACAATCATTGTGGTGTTGTTGTGAGACAGGGTCTTGCTATGTAGCCCAGGCTGTTTATCAAACTTTCAGATCCTGTCTGGTGCTGGTGGCTTATGCCTGTAATCAATCACTATTGGAAGCCAACCCTGGCAAGAAAGTCTAAAAGTCTTCTAAAAGTCTGAACTAGCAAAGAGCCAGAAGTGGAGCTGTGGCTCAAGTGGTAAAGTGATAGCCTTGTGTGAAAAAGCTCAGGGACAGGGCCTGGGAAGGTGGCTCAGTGGTAGAGTGCTTGCCTCGTATTATTGAGGTCCTGGGTCCGATTCCTCAGCACCACATAAGAAGAAAAAGCCAGAAGTGGTGCTGTGGCTCAAGCGGTAGAGTGCTTGCTTTGAGCTGAAGAGCTGAGGGACAGCGCCCAGGCCCAGAGTTCGGGCCCCATGGCCGACAAAAAGAAAGCTCAGGGACAGCACCAGGCCTTGAATTTAAGCCTTATTACTAAAAAGCTCAGGGACAGCACCAGGCCTTGAATTTAAGCCTTATTACTAAAAAGCTCAGGGACAGCACCAGGCCTTGAATTTAAGCCTTATTACTGACACACACACACACACACACACACACACATGTACGTCAGCCCTCTAGCACTTGGAGACTCCTTAGTTGCTCAATGTTGCTTGCTTTAGTTTTGCTGGGCCTGAACCCCAGGATCTTGTACATGCTGGGAAGAACTCTCTGAGCTACGATCCCCATCCCTTTGTCTAATCATTGTTCCTATGTCTGTGCTCTGTGATTTTGTTTTGCTTATCTTCTATAGTCAAGGGTCTTTACAGAACACATATGAGCTTTGAATGACCTAAGTATTTCAGCCTCTAGCCTCAGAGTAACACCAGACCGGGTGTTTCTTTTTTCTCTTTTTTGCCAGTCCTGGGGCTTGAACTCAGCCTGGGCTCTGTCCCTGAGCTTTTTTTTTTTTT